CCGCATTCATTTCGCGTTCTTCTCTCAATGGAGATCAAAGCCTTTGTGTTCATGGTATAAGGGTGTCTGGTCAGTGATGGAAGTCTGGTGGCCTGCTGAGGGGCCATCTGAGGTAGATGTCTCAGCTGTGCTCTTAGCCATGTAGAGAGAGACAGTGTACAACTTTTCACTCTTTCTTTATAGCATCACATAAAGTACCAGCACTTGCTGAAGAAAAAATACGTATGTCAGAAGCAGCTCCTGCGGCATGCCAAACACCACACAGGTACATGGAGGTGGGAGATAGATACAAGCTCCTCCTCAGGTCAGTGAACAGAGCCGGGGGGAAATGGAAAAGCCTCTAGGACTTCTGTGGAGAGTGAAGCCAAGGCATGTGGCATGGATTTGCAGCAGGGTATTATTCCCTTTTGGATTACCATCTTTAAAGGAAGTTAAAGAAATAGGCTATGGAATTTTTAATTCACCCCCTGGCAAGTATCACTCCAGGGTTCTGTAGAGGAATAAACCGAGTTGAGCTTTATCCTAATTTGCCAGTCCTTCAGTGTTTATCAGAATGTGTAATTAGCTCTTAGGAGAGTTGTAATCACACCTTAGCTCTCCAGATCAGCTGCTGTGTGTATTGTGGGACACTTCCTCCTTTGCTCTGCCTGCTGGCCTCCCAGGACTGCTAGTTCTGTTGCTTCTTGGGCAGCTTTACCTGCAACATGCGACAGCTGGGAAAGGGAGCAGGTCTGCGGGAGAGTAATGCTCCAACTGGTGTTGCTTTTTAGATCAAAGGGATTACATCTGTGAGTACTGTGCCCGAGCGTTTAAGAGTTCTCATAACTTGGCGGTGCACCGAATGATCCATACGGGCGAGAAGCCTTTGCAGTGAGTACCTCTGCCTGCCTTTTGCTGTCCTGCTTCGAGGGGCCCTTGGATACACCCATGCTTGGACTGCACTGAGATCAGGAGCCGCTCTGAAGGCGGGGCTGGAACCTGTTCTTGGTGTCCCAGCTCTCTTTAAACGCACACCTGTAGGAGCGTTTGAGCTGCCACTTGTCTCGCCTGCTCCTTGAGGCAGTCTCTCAGTAGAGATCTGAGGAACATAAGCCCTCTGCAAGTAAAACTGGAAGAGATGGAGCTATGGTGACACCCCATTTTAGTGAGCCCTTGCTGTTTTGCTGGGCTGCCTCTTTGCTACTGCTGTCCCCACAAGTGTGTGGGGATGTCCCTTTGTTGTGACCTCCCCCTTCTCCCCTCCCAGGTGCGAGATCTGTGGATTCACCTGCCGGCAGAAGGCTTCCCTCAACTGGCACATGAAGAAGCACGATGCGGACTCCTTCTACCAGTTCTCCTGCAACATCTGTGGCAAGAAATTTGAGAAGAAGGACAGTGTCGTGGCCCACAAAGCCAAGAGCCACCCTGAAGTGCTTATTGCTGAAGCACTGGCTGCCAATGCGGGTGCCCTGATCACCAGCACCGACATCCTGGGCACTAATGCTGAGGCCATTGCGCCGCCCACTGATGGCCAGGGCCTCCCCCTTCTTCCTGACCCCCTGGGAAGTGCCGCCCCGGCAGACTGTCTGCTGCTGAGCCCTGACGGGGTGCCGAAGACATACTGTAGTGGGGCAGAGCGCGTGAGCCTGGTGGCTGACGGCAAGCTCTTTGTGGGCGGCGGCAGCAGTGCGAACCCGGAAGGGCTGGTCATGAACACAGAGATCCTGGGAGCCACCACGGAGGTGCTCATTGAAGATTCAGACTCCACTGGACCCTAGTGGGCGGGGAGCATGAGGGTGCTGGGACAGTTTGGACTCTGTATTTAAAAGGAAAAAAAAAAAAGAGGAGATGCTTACTGAAAGAGAGAAAAGTTAAACAAAACTTACAATACTAGTAAATAACCGAAAGGTCTGCTCCCCTCCAGCGTGGATCACAGCACATCCTCTTCCTCCCGACCACCGCTCTCTCTCCCCACTGCTCCTTTGTAGAAAGGGGCACATGCTGCCGTTACCAGAGCAAGTTGGATTGAGCGATGGATTTCCCGAGCAAGGGGGGACTGCTGAAACCCTTCGCTCTACCCCAAAGCGGATGTCTTTCTGGCTCCTTGACGTGGTCCCCACTGGCAAACTAGAAAGCATTTGATGTGCTCTGGACAAGTTTCTTAGGACTCCTTCTTGCCCCTGGTCCCAATTTCTATGCATCGCTGCACTCTGGTCCTTGCAGTCTCATTCTTCCTCCCGGGGCTGGGAGTTTGGCTTGGCACTTTAGGCCCCCCCTCAGCAGGGTGAGCTGTGAAACAGCGCACGTCCCTCTCCCCACCACGCTCCTCTGCTCCAGCTCTGGCAGGAAGTTGAGGGAACGCCCTGGCTCATAGATCATATTTGCTTGGAGAGGCCCGGGGGCTCCGGGAGCCCTGCGTGGGAGAGGCAAGGAGGAGCATCCCAGTTTGACGACAGTAATTTGCACTTTGAACATGTTTCTTTTTTGTGTTGTGGTAACAAGATTCCTTATTTATTGATTAAAAAAGGGTCGGTATTTTTTACTTGTGTTCTTAGGGGGTGGGGGTAGAAGGGGTTCAGCCTGTTTCCCACTAGGCTCCTTAGCGCTAGCGAGCTGCAGGGAGTGCGTTGTGCCATCGTAACAGCATCTGGGAGAGTCGAGGTGAAGGCAGCCTTCTGGAGTCAGATGTGTCTTGCAGCTTTTCCAGAGTAGAGGAAGAGCCTGTTTGTAGTGGGGAGTCTCTGCAGCAGCATTTTAGCAGGAGGATGAGGTGAGTGATGGAACAGCTGGCTCCAGTGATGGAACCCTCCCTCCCACATCGGGGTGAGCTCCTTGTGTTAAATGTTTGTTTTGCCTCCCTCTTGCTCCCTAGCCTTTCAGGGAAGAACATCACTAGCCAGAAACTTGTTCTCATGACTTAGGACAGTTGTAAGCTGCTTGCCCCTGGGGAATGTGCTCCTCATCCAACTCTGCCTCTCCTTTCCAGGTCTAGACAAAGCTACAGAAGCAGGGACTGGATGTGGTTGTCTCAGGCTTGTTTATGCAATGCAATAGACTGACGTGGGACTAAGGGGCTGTCAGCTTCTCTCCCTGACCCTGTTTTGGGGGGAGGGTGTTATGCAGCTGTGTTCTCAAAGCTTTTCTCTTCTGCGCAAACACCCCTGCTTTCCATGAAACATGGCGGTTTAAGTGTTGCCTGCCTGTGTGGTTAGGACAGCTCTGAGCCCTTGGAAAAGTTTGCATAGGATATGATGTGTCTGCTGTGGAGACTTGGATCTTTTTGCTCTCGTCTGAAACTTTGTGTGAAGATTCAGTGGCCTTGAATTCATTGTGGTTTTGCAAGAGGTAAAGAAAAACCTGGGGGGCTGGAGGTTGTGCTTTTTTTTTTTTTTTTTTTTTTGTTGGTTGGATTTATAGGATTGGGAGCAGAGGTGAAGTATCTTGTCTGAGCACAAGATCAGCTAAATTGGTCTGTAGCACACAGCAGCTAGGCAAAATCAGGTATCTGGGGTCTGGATAATGGCAATAAAACATGGCATATAGCTGAAAATTTCTTACAGGAAACTGACTCTGAACGCCCACTCTGTCCCCTGTGCTGCCTGGAAATCCACTTTTATTGGGCCATTTGTCCTGATTTGCCCCCTCCTTTCCCCCCTTACACTGGTATCTTTGTCAGAGCAAGTTGAAACACTTCTGGTGTTGGGGTGGTTCGTGACTGAGCAGTTTGCAACCCTGGTTGCCTTGTGCCCTGGTTTGGGGCATCCCACGTTCTTGCACCGTGGCAGCAGCGTGGCTCACATGCCTGCAGGAGATGTGTCCAGCCGCAAGCCTCTCCTGGACATAAGGGTGGGGGCCGAGCGTACCTGAACGTGGGTCTCTCGGGACAGTGCATGTCAGGTCTGCAGTGGTACTGTGTAAACTAAACCAGTTTCTTGCTTGGATCAAATTATTGTGATTTCTAGCAGGAAGCTTTCGGGTGGCCAGCCCGTCTCCCCTTGCAGACTAAAGAGAATCAGCACAATGAGGCGTGTTCAAACCCAGCTCTGATGGTTTCACGCCCCAGCAGTGTGGGTCTTCTGTACAGGGAGACTGGGGGCTGGCCGAGCCGTGTTGTGTGGTGGCACGTCTCCAGCCCTGGGTCCTGGCCGTGGGTGGCAGATGCGCTGGTGCGGTACAGGTCAGTTGCGTTGTCCCCATGCTTGCTGCAGACCGTGCTGCTGGAGCTGCTGTTTGTGCCTCGGGGAAGGTGTGGAGCAGGCAGGGCCTTGCACAGAACACTAAACGGAGAGCTTGGGGTTTTGTTTTCTGAGAGATGGCACTAAAATGCTTTTGAGTTGAGGGCTTGCTTGCTCCTGGTGACGCAACGCTTGGCACCTGGCTGGCAGGGAAGGGAGGCTGCCTTATTCTGCATCTGCCCCAGCTGCCCCCAGTGCAGCAATGAGTTTGCAGTCGGCCGTGTTTCTGGGCTGCAGAATTAAGCAGCTCGTTTGCTTCCCGGCCTGGACCCCCCTGATCCCGGCTTCTCCCTGCCTCGTCCTTCCACGCACACCTCTCATAGCTCTCCTTTTCCTCGTCTCGGCCAGTTGCCCATCTGTGCTCTAACCACAGCCTGCTCATCCCTGGCGCAGGAGAGACCGGTGTAGCTCCCTTCCCGCTCCCCTTGAAGCCCTGAAACTGACACAGCCCTGCTGCAGCTCCTCCTCCCCTCGCTGTCCCTCCTTCACTCGCATGCAGTTTGCTTCAATAAATTATTGTAGTAGTTTGCAATAAACTTTTGTATTTTTTCCCCCCCTGTATTTATTTTTTATTTTCTCCTCCAGGGCAGAGAAGAGAGCCGGGCTGGGAGCAGGGGCGAGGCCCAGCGTGCGGCGACACCAGAGGGAAGCTGTTTTTCAACTCCTGTTTTTTCTCTTAATCTGGGTGATATGTAACCAAAATAAACGTACTGAGGAGAAACCAAACTGACAGAAAGGGCTGTCTTTGTCTCGGTGCATGCCGCTCACCTCTGGTGGGTGGCAGGCATGGCCCTGGTGTGGCTGGTATCTCCTCCCCTCCCTTCAGTCCCCCTTTGGGGCAGGACCCCTCTGGGACAGGGGGTTAGACTGGGTGCCCTGCAGCTGT